TGGAAAGTTGCAGAAAAATGTACAGGAAATAATTTGAAGAAAGTAGGCCAAAAGGATCATTCTGCTGGTGGCTGATGGGATGAGAAATTTTCCCCCTTGTTTCTTTTTTTTAATTTTTTTATTTATTTTTTATTTTTTGTTTATTGCAGTAACATTGGTTTATAACGTGTGAATTTCAGGTGTACATCATTATATTTCTATTTCTGCATAGATTACATCATGTTCACCACCCAAATACTGATTACAACCCATCACCACACACATGTGCCGAATTATCCCTTTCGCCCTCCTCCCTCCCTCCTTCCCCTCTGGTAACCACCAATCCAATCTCTGTCTCTATGTGTTTGTTTATTGTTGTTATTATCTGCTACTTAATGAAGGAAATCATACGGTATTTGACCTTCTCCCTTGACTTATTTCACTTTGCATAATACCCTCAATGTCCATCCATGTTGTCACAAATGGCTGGATTTCATCGTTTCTTATGGCTGAGTAGTATTCCATTGCGTATATATACCACAGCTTCTTTATCCATTCGTCCCTTGATGGGCACTTAGGTTGCTTCCAAGTCTTGGCTATTGTGAATAACGCTGCAATGAACCCCTTGCTTCTTTATATTTGTCTGACTTTTCTAAATTTCCTAACTTTCTATAAAATCAGGAAAAAAACTATTAAAGATAGATTTTTGAAAACACGAGACTGTACAGAGACAGGTTTGGGACAAATCACCAACAGGCATCAAATACCAATTTTTACCCCCCAAACATTTGTTAATTTCAAAGACATTTCACTGACCCACACGCTTTCTTGCGCAAAGCCTGACCCTTACTGCTGGTTATTCTGACAGTCATCCTCAGGTCACAGGAGGCAGCTTCCTCTTTGGTTCTGAGAGAAGTCCCGTGATAGAAGCCAATTTCCTGAATCTTTTTGAGAAAATTCGTTACAAGGGTCTTTGATTTCTTTGTATTGCCCCTGTGTTTCTTGCCATTGCGGGTGCGTCTGGTCTCTTGGGCATCGCTTACGCGTCCTGCTCCCGGGCAGGGCAGCAGTTTTGGCAGCTGCAGTCTGGGAAATATCACTGACAGTGTGATGGCTTGTCCGGTCTTTTGCAGCCCTGGGTCCAGACACTGTATGAAGGAAGGAGGCCTGGGTTTCAAGGCACAGCTCAACACTCACTAATGGCCATTAAGCAACTCATTTTACCTCTGAGCCTCGGTGTTCTCATCTGTCAATGGGGATGATGAAGAGCCGTACCTACCTCATGGGTCATTGCGAGTCTGAAGAGGGCTCAGGTAGGATAAGTTATGTGCAAGCCATTTGTAAACGTGGCAATTGTCTGTCTTTATTTTCTGTAGCTTCCCATTTTCTTTCTCACATCTTTTTGACATACTGACAGAGGCTAATTAAAATTAAAATTAATTAACATTAAAATTAAGGGAGACATTTAGAGGAAAGGACCTGGGACGGGGGAGGGAGCTGGTGGAGCATCTTGGGAGGGTGAGGGATGTTGAGGAGGGAGGTGTAGAAATGTGACACAGTGCCTGTTAGGAGCAGAACTCTGGTGACAGGGCTGTTGTAAGCAGGTATCTAGGAAGCCTTGTCTTTGGACGTTTGGTGTAACACCATCTTGTCTCCTTGAGAAACTTTCTGTAAGCACCTCTCTCACTTTTTAATGTTCTTTTTAATGTTTAAGATTTGTAGTCATCCTCTTGCTCCCCATGCATTAATCTCATGCTAAGATGGGCCTTAAGGCAAAAACAGGATGAGTAGCTCAAGATGACTTAGTATACTAGAGTTCTAGAATAATGCCCCCCCCAAGTGAGGATTAAACGAGAACATTCACATAGGCTGCCTTGCACACAGTAGATGTCCAGTACATGGCAATTATTATTATTATGAACCAGGAGATATTTTGCTAAAACATAGTGATTTGAGAATGGAGACTTGGTTTCTCTTCATATCTCCTAGGACAGGGCTGACACTGAAGTTGATCAATCAACTTCAACTGAAGTGCAGTCCCACCACACACATGCCTACACAGTATGTCCATTCTCTGACCTATCTTGATCATACCATGCCCATACTCTACTCTGAGGTCTTGGAGCCACCAAGCCACTGCTTGCTGTGCTAGGGGCTGTGTGGCCAGCCATTTCCCTTGTCTTGTTTCTGGGGTCTTCCCACAAGACCCATCTCTAGTGTCCAGTCTCCGCCCTCTAGTGTTTTTCTCTGTTGCCCTTACTCCAGGCTGTACTGGCCCATCTGTGCAGGGGCAGCAGGAGCAGTCCTGGGTGCTTAAATCAGACATGCTGTTACTCCATTTCTACTTTCTGACTTGGGTTCTATAGACTTAGCTGTGTATAGGTATCCTTATCCTTGAAGCTGGCAGCGCTGAGGCCCAAGGTAGGGGGCACAGACAGACCACAGAGCAGTTCCTTTAACCCTGAGCCTCGCCTTACATTGGACAACAGGTGCTGACAGTGTGCAGAGAAGACCTGTGAGGGCTCGTTAAGGGTCTTGATAAGCATCTATAGCGGGATGAGGAAGAAGGGTTTGGGAGACATTTTCAACTGCTTGTGCCTCCTTTTGTCTCCACAAGACTTTGTAATAACAACACCTCCAATTCGAGAGTGCTATGACAATATTGTTTGTGAGTGGATTGTTGTAAATATTATAAAGTAGGGCATTATTTGTATTAGTTGGTAAACTGCGTAAAATGACGGCCAAGAAAGGAATTACCTAAAATGTTATTCATGGGCAAAGGCTGAGGTCGTGGAGGGCGGGAGGTGAGATGGTGTTCAGAAGGAAAGTAGGTATCTGGACTTCGAAGGAGAACAACCTGTCAAGGCAGGGGCCTAGAGAGTGAGGAAGCCTCATAAATAGGTTGGGGAGGACAGGACTGTCCCCCACCTAATGATCCAGCCTCCTATCTCCCACTTATAGGTCAGAAGGCCCCAACTGGTGAGACAGCAACTTTGAGGGAGCGGCCTCCAACAGGAATAACTCCACAGCTGAAAACTTGCCAGGGGCACCCTTACTTTCCCACTAATCTGCCTCAGAGCCCCAGGAACTTCTTGGGCTTATCATGTCATCTGTGGTCATCTCAGTCCTGCAAGCCAAGAATCCAGAACTAGCCTTTTCCCTTGTTTTCTCCATAATTTGACTAGCGTTCTTCTGGTAAAGGGAACTGCGGAGTGGGGACTGGACCGCCTTCTAAAAAAGCCTCTCCTCTGTTGCTTGTTTTTGGTTCTTAAGTAGTGTTGACACAAAAGTGATGCCGAGGAAGGAGACGATTGAGTCTTTCAATGAATGTGGAAGAGGGTTCTAATGCTGGCTTTTCCATTTCCTAGGTGACTTCAATTTCCTCATCCACAGAGTGGGGTTAAGGCCACTGCCTATCTTATGACCAGGAGAGACAATATAATAAGCAACGTGCTTTTGCTAGCTATTATTTGGATGCCTTTTTTCATTCTCCCTGTCCTTGCCACAGCTGCTATTATATCTCCACCGGTGGCAGCTTCCAAGCTGGTCTCTGCACTCTGTGCTTGCTGTCTCTGCTGCTGCCATCCATTTCCCAGTAAGCTGCCAGAGAAATCAGTGTAAAACACAAAGATGCATGCCATGCCCCTGCACCAAAATCTTTTAATAGTTTCCAATTTACTCAGAATAAAGTCTAAAATCTTCAAGGTAGCATCCTCTCAGAAACAGTCTTATGAGTTTGTCTGCTTCCACTCATTCACCCCTATGCTTTACTGTCATGAGCCCCTTCTAAACGCCAGACACTAAGCTAAGTGCTTCACAGAGATCATTTCACATAATCCTGAAAACGTTATCTTTCATATCCGTTTTACAGAAGAGGAAAGGGAGGCTCAGAGAGGTTGAGGAATTCACACAAGAGTGCACAGCTAGTTGGTCACAGAGATTTGAATTCACTGTGTTTGGCACCCTCTCCAACTGGACTTCTTTGTACTGAGTGATAATGCATTCTCAGTAGCTGGGAAGGGCCAGCAGGAAGCATCCAGGATGTGGGGAGGGAGGAAGCAGTGCTTGGAAGAAGGGTGTTGGGGATGAGATGAGGAAGCCATCTTCCCTTTCCCTGGTTGGCGGTAGGGAGTGGCCACCTCCATTTGGAGAGAGAGTTCTGGACTTGGGCTTTATGCCCTCGCAGTGTGCACCCGACCTCGTGTTCCGGGAGGATCCAGACTACCTTCCATTCTCCTGGTCACCTCTCCCCTGCCTCAGCCCCTTTCCTCCAAGAACACAGCCTGGCGCCAAGTGGACGCTCAATAGACTTACCAGAGACGATCATTGCCCTTGGTAGAAGCATCCTCTCTACGGGGGGTCTAGAGTGATGGCTTAAGGCCACTTCCGGCCCTCCTGTGGAGTGGTTTTCTGTCTTAGGGAAGCAGCGGCGGGGCCACCAGGGATGGTCAGCATGCGGCTGTGACGCCTGCTCAACAAGCAGTTTTGTCACCTTTCGCTACAGCCCCTGACCAGCCCCAGTGCAAGGAAAGAAACCTGTTCCCTTCATCACGCCACCTGAGGCCTCCTGCCCCAGCCTGCAGACAGCTGGGGTGGAAGTCTCCGTGTGCAGGGGTTCGCTGACACTCCCTCCCTTCTGTGGCTGCCCTTTGAGAGCACCTTGTACTGTCACGTCCGAGGTTGGGAGGTTCTTGCCAAACCCAGTGATGTTGTTTCACATTCTACACAAGAAGAATTTGAAGCTTCAGAGAGATTAAGTGACTTGCTCAGGGTCACGCAGTCAGTAGCAGAGCCGGGATTTATATCTCCCGCTTGTTAGGACGAAAAGTCCAAGAGTGCCGGATTCAAGCCTCCAGGACCTGCCGGCTGGGGAGTAGGGCCGGCATTTGGGGATTCTTGCCCCGCCCCGTTGCTCCTCCCTCTTGTTCCTCAGTCAGCCATCCTTGGGGGGAAGCAGAGTCCCAGCATCACGCGGGGCTCTAACCAGGCACCCTTAATTCAGAGGCCAGCTCGCTAGCGATCTCCAGAGGGCCAGGCTGGTTTGGGGCGCGGTGTGGCCGGTGACCTACCCCGTCTTACCGACTATTTGCATAACGGACTATTCGCTTCCCCCGCCCCTCCGCCGCGCTCTTCTTCCCTCCTTCCCCCATCCCCTCCACTCCTCATCCCCTGTCCCCCGCTCCTCCCCAGCAGACCCCTCCTCCCGGGACTCCCGCGTGGGGCTCCCAGCTCCTGGGTTCTCCGGAGTCCGGAGGCACCTGGAGGAGGGGAGTCCTGGGCAAGGCCAGGCTGGGGAAGACGCCGGGGACACTGGCCGGCGCTAACAAAGGGAGCCTGCTGCCGGCCGGCTCGGGCGCGGAGCTGGTGGAGCAGCCGCAGCCTTGGCGGCCGAGAACGCAGTGAGTGAGTAGGGTGCGGTGGGCGGCGGCGCAGCCCGGGCCCCGCCGGAGGAGTGATGCGGCGGGGCGCAGGAGGGGAGCAGGAGGGGAGCGGAGAGGCGGGGCCCGCGGCGCGCCTAGGGCGCAGGGAGTCAGTGTCCAGCGCCGCCTCAGCCGCCTTCGCTGCGCGGGCTGGCCACTATTTGGCTGCAGATGTCTGTGTATTTGTCCCGGCAGAGGGGCCGCCCTGGCTTCTTCCGAGCTCCGCGAGCCTGAGGACCCACAACAAACCCACGTGCCCTTGGCCCTCCAGGAACCTCGCTTTCTCCGTGGCACCGTCAGTAGAGGGGGGGGAGATTGCAGAGTCCTGGTTCCTTCAGATCCCGCCTTCTGGATTTACAAACCAGGAAACTGAGGCCCGCGGCGGGGGTGGGGGCACAGGCACCATAACAAACGCACGTGCGCCCTGCCCTGGGAACTGGGCTCACCGCAAGCCCTTAGTAGCCGCCCTGCGGAACCGGGCCATTGTCTCAGCCTCGGGGGAGGGAGCGGCGCGGGGGGCGCCACTTGCTGGAGGAGGACGACGGAGACATTTAAAAGATACCACTTGGGCATCAAACCAAGCTGCCAGAGACTTGAAAAGGGAGAAGCGAAACAAGAAAGCAGCTACAAAAAGATTACTCCACGCCGAGTCTGTCCCCGGCTGTGGTGCATTCCTTGATGTGATCTGGACCACCCCTCACTTCCACCTCACGGAGGTTTCTTAGAGACAGGGGTTGCATTAAGGGTCTATGGGTCCCCCTCCAAAAAAAGACCGTGCGTAGCGCACCATTGTTCCTGCACTCCGGCGCCTGCCTCTATTGGGAGATCGCGAGCGCCTCCCCAGCCTGCGGAAAGAACAGTCCCACTTCAACGGCGCGGTCTTGGGTTTGGCTTACTCTTCGCCTTGTATGTAGGTCCATGCGCCTAGGCAGCCCGGGTGTCATTGGCTCCTTTTCGCTTATTATGTATTTTTACAAGCAAGGCCAGCCGAGGCCTCTTGCTGTGGGTGGGGACGCTATTATTTTCAGTTCTATCAGAGTTTCTTTGAGAGAAATTCCCAGGTCCGGAAAGAGAGGCCTCTTGTTTGTTTTGCTTTTTCTTTGCTTACATATGCGCAGCTTAGGTTTGCAGATTTTAGTTAATCAGACGTGTTTAGGCAGCAGTAAGATGGTTGGGGGGATGAATTGGCCCCTCAGGTGATGGTGTTGGTGCAGGAGTAAGCCCCAAGGTGGTGAGAGCCGGTGGGTGGTGCGCAGGGAAGGAGGCCCCGCTGCCTGATGTGCTTGCTGAGCTGGGGCTACAGCTTCACGTCGACCAGCACCGCTGGAGATTAAGCTGACCTCCAGCTCTACACCACTGATATCAAGAATCTACAGAGCATCCAGTGAACTCTCTTATTTTACAGGTGGGAAACCAAGGCCTGGCGAGTTGAGCCGCATGGCCAAGGTTAAGCCGAGTGAAATCAGCAACAGAGGGAGGACTTGAGCATGGGTCCCCCAACTCCAACGCTACCCGGTGGTGCCAGCAGCTAAGGGGAAACCAAGATTCTGTGGTTGGCTTAAAAGGCAGTGGCCTTAGGCAGAACAGAGTTAAACAAAGAAAGTAATTCAGATTGAAAGCAGCACCCTTCCATTATCCCTTTCAGGAGTTTTTTATTCATTTGTGAAAAGATAGATTTAGTAATTCCTTACTCTCCTTCTAACCTTTCATAAGCTGTTATTTTTCTCTGCTGGCTGCCCCCTTCCCCTCAAATGGGAATAGGTCCAACTGTAGAGACTTAGATGGTTTGCCTCTCACTCCTGTGCCAGGAGGCCTTTGTTTGGGCATAAGCATGGGCTGTTGACATCAGCTCAGCTGGGAAGAAAGTGTCTCTTAGTGGGCTACTCCGGAGCCACTTGTGGGAGAACAAAGCATTGTTTTCACTGATTTTACTTACTTAATTTTTTTAAATGAAAGTTCCACGGAAGTACCTGCTTATTTTTGTATTTGGCAGAGGAAAAGTTGGAAAACCGAAAGAACACTTCAAGTCCTGGTTTTCCTAAAGCTGATGACGTGCCCTGTGCTTATCTCCTTGCTATGCTTATTTGTTTTCTTAGGGTTTCCAGGGTGATTCATTTTCGTGGTAATTCCACTTGGCACTTGAGTATAGTTTTCTCATCAGGATGCTTGCCTTGTAAGGAACTTCAGAAATCATCTGGCCAGACCCTTTATTTTCCAGATGGGAAAACTGAGGCCCAGAGAGAAGAAATTACTTGCCGAAGGACACACAGCAAGGTGTCTACTTTTAGTGCCTCTTTTTGTGTGAAAGGGAGACTGTTGCATCAAGCGAGCTGTTGTTGGTACCCCAAAGTAAAGTCAAAGTTATGATGGTTGTTATAACAACACCCTTTAAGTCAGAGAATGAATTCCTTAAGGGTTTAAATAGGTTTTGGTTATTAAACAAAGCCATGGATCCCAATGGTAGATATGGTGAGGATTATTACAGATATTATCGGGGATCAGTTTTCTTTAGTGTTTATGAAATGGTTTGCTTTCTACTTGCCCTGTGCTCCCACATAGTCTTCTGCCTCGTGCTTCCCCAGTAAGGAGCTGCTTTGAGTATAATCATAAAGCAAAAGGCAGCAAGAAGTCAGATGAGAGAGACCCCACTTAGCTCTTGGTGCTACTTAACTTCTTGGCCTCCAGTTTCCTTCTTTGTACAACGAGGGTCCCTCCTGCGCAGTCTCTGCACAGGCTGTTCTAGTGGAGCAGAAGATGCTCTGGCCTGAGAGTCAGAGGAGTGGCTTTGGTCCTCCCTCCTCTCTCCTCTGTTCCTAGAGAACCAGCAGGCTGTGTCCAGGTCGTGTAATGTGAGGGGAAGAATGTGTACGTATCTCCTGGAGTTGTTGTGGGTATTAAGTCATGTGACACATGCTGATGCCTCTTCAGACCTCTTGGCAGGCTTGGGTGCTCTGCAACTTTGTAAGGGGTAGAGAAGGATAGTGGGAGAATACTAACTCCATAGAGTGAAAGCCCTGTACTCAAAATAGGAGACCCCACCTAGTCACAAAGAGGTGTGTATGTCTGCCAAACTGTAAAGGGGACCTTTGGATAGTTGTGAAGTGTGTGTGACTCTGAGTAAATAAACCTAGTAAAAAAACAAGTCAAAAACAAAACCAGAGCTTTCACGCTCACGTGTGTGCCATCTCAAGTCATTCCATTCATTCATTCCATGTTTACTGACAAGCAGGCAGGCTGGGAGGGGGAGTCCTGTGTGTGGCCTGGAGTTACAAAGAACCAGAACCATTCTGTGTCCCACCACACATTTGGATCTCCCCTTAGAAACTGCTCTCAGGGGGCTGGCCTGGTGGTGTAGCAGTTAAGGTCATGCACTCTGCTTTGGTGGTCCGGGGTTTACAGGTTTGGATCCTGGGCGCGGACCTACTCACCACTCATCAGGCTTTGCTGAGGTGGCTTCCCATATAGAAGAGCTACAGCTCTACAACTATCATATACAACTATGTACTGGGCTTTGGGGAGCAAAACCCTCCTCTTTTTGCTGAGGAAGACTGGCCCTGGGCTAACATCCATGCCCATCTTCTTCTACTTTATACAGGATGCCGCCACGGCATGGCTTGACAAGTGCTGTGTCTGTCAGCACCCAGAATCCGAACCTGTGAACCCTGGGCCTCCGAAGTGGAGAGTGCGCACTTAACCACTACATCATGGGCTGGCCCCCAAGAAATCCTCTTTTCTAAAAAAAAAAAAAAAAAAAAAATGAACTACTCTCAGGAGCCCACAGAAAATAGATCTAGTTTACCTCAATTTTGACCTCTGGGTGGGGGGGCCCTTTTCTTCATGAGTGAAACCAAGAGCAGGTGGTAAATGAGACAGTGGAAGAGGGAAGGCTTCAAAGAGAAAGTGGCTGTCTACAATGTGAGGATGTGGTTACTTGAAAAATGACAGGAATAATTCACTAATGAAACTCACAGTAATCTTCTGGAACATTAGAGTCCTGAGAATTTGCTCAGACTTAGTATCAGTGGTTTATTTAATAAGAACTGAATTGGGGAAAAATTCATTTTTCTTGCCTGTCTGCATGTATATTGAAACTACATGATGGCATTCTGACTCTAATAGATGTACTTTTTATAGGCTTATCTGTATCAGTAACGTAGTAAGCAATGCAATTTCATCTCATTAAAATACTGGGGTCATTTTCTAAGTCATTACTAAAAGAGGTTAGCCTTTAGAATCAATTTGATGATTCAAATTTTATTTGTCGTTCTGATTATAAAAATACAACGTGCTCATTGAGGACAGTTTGGAAAGTACAAAAAAGTATAGAGAAACAGAAGAAAGTTCCATTATTCAAAGGCAACCACTGTTAACGTTTGGCAATTTTCCCTCTGGACCTTTTTCTTTTAATGGATTTGTTTTCTCTAAATGGTAGAGAACAAACTGTATGTGCGGTTATCTCTTGCCTCTCTTGCTGAAGCTCCTCATGTATACATATCATAGTTGACATCTGCATTAAAGCTGTGTCTTTTCATTCATGACCCATATCAGCTGCTCCACATCTCCCAAGTCACGTGGCCCATGGGATCTGATCACTTCCGTGATCATTTCAGTGAGGGCTGGTAGAGGAAGGAGCCTCTAACTTCCCCTTTGCCATGCTCAGGTGTTCAAGCACCAGCCATTTTTATTTTATTTTATTTTATTTTGTTTTATTTTATTTTTTATTTTAGAAGAAATCCAAAGTCTAAGGTGGAGGGAGAAGGGTCCCACCAGTGGCCTTGTGTTCTAGTCCTGCCCTTGTCACCTCCAATGACTTTACGTTAACAGTTTCCATATGAATTATTTATTTATTTATTTATTTAATTTTTTATTTTTTTGTGAGGAAGATCAGCCCTGCTGATCCATGCTAATCCTCCTCTTTTTGCTGAGGAAGACCGGCTCTGAGCTAACATCTATTGCCAATCCTCCTCCTTTTTTTCC